ACTTAGACTTATATACCACTTCCCAGTGCTTTACAGCCCTCTCTAAGCGGTTTACAGAGTCAGCCTCTTGCCCCCAACAATCTGGGTCCTCATTTTACCCACCTGAGAAGAATGGAAGGTTGAGTCAACCTTGAGCCGCTCAGAATCGAACTGTTGGCAGTGGGCAGAGTTAGCCTGCAATACTGTATTCTAACCACTGCACCACCACAGCTCTGTACCTATAATACGAATGCTGGAAGCTAAGCTTCTTGTACATAGAGCGAAGGAGAAGGTTTATAAAAGAATAGCAGAGTTGGAAGGGACCTCGGAGGTCTTCTAATCCAACCCCCTGCCCAAGCAGGAGGCTGCCATTCCAGACAAGTGGCTGTCCAGTCTCTTCTTAAAAGCCTCCAGTGATGGAGCACCCACAATTTCTGGAGACAAGTTGTTCCAATGATTAATTGTTCTCACTGTCAGGAAATTTCCACTTAGTTCTAGGTTGGTCCTCTCCTTGATTAGTTTCCGTCCATTGTTTCTTGTCTTTCCTTCAGGTACTATGGAAAATAGGCTGACCCCCCTCTTCTTTGGCGGTAGCATTGTTTGTCCTAACCTGTGGAAGACATGATCCATTTTGTAGAAAGGGGACCTTCCTAGTTTGGAGATGATGAGAACTTCCTTGATCGATTTCTTCTTGATGGTTCTTCCTGCAAATAAACCTTCAATGAGCATCCATTCCGGTTTTAGTTTTGCTTTTGAGACGGGAATTGAAAACCACTGGGATCCATCTTTTAAGTTGAAAGCAAAGGATGTTGTCGTGGAACCATAACAACAAAAGAAGAATAACCTTGTTTGAATAATGGGATGTTCTCTCCGGCCACAACTTTCCTTCCATGAGCTGAGAAAAAAAAAAAAAAAAAACTTGCGTGTAACCTTTTTGCTTTTATATCCCCTTCCCCTGTCTTCTTGTTGTAGGTCCAACGTCGAATGACAAGGCCGAAACAAAAGCAGGAAACCTCCCTAAAATCTCCGGGTTAGAACGCAGCCAGGAACTGAACACAGACCTGCCATTCGTCCTACCCCTCTCCAGCCCGCCACCTACCGCAACCATCGTGACGTCCAGCTCTTCGGTACCCACGTCAAGCACCCGGGCTAGCCCGCTCTTGAAAAAGGAACCCTTGGTCCCAGCACCAGCACCTCCGAGGCTCACCCCTCAGCCACAGCCTCGTCCGCAGTCACAACCTCAGCCTCGTCCGCAGTCGCAACCTCAGTTGTTGCCCGAGCTCCGGACACAGCTGCCGAGTCATATCCCCCCACCTCTCAGTTATCAGGTCCATCACCAAGTGGCCCACAACGGAATCAATAATATCAGGTAGGGACCGCCAAGGTTGATTGGAAGGCGCTCTTCTCTGCAGCCTTTGTGTGTGTGTGTGTGTGTGTGTGTGTGTTTGCTTTTGCGTGTTTTCAAGCTAGCACCCAACTCAAGGGTTTGGACCATCGTTGGCAGAGTGCAAGCAACCAGGACAGCTCCGAGATTGGGCCAGATACATCTCTTTATTGTTGATCCACCAGTTTACAAGAAATTCACCAGGCTGTCTGCCTCCCCTTGGGAAAGGCACATATATAGACCTAAGGATTTGACTTCAAACACTTCCTTCCCCAATTCATCTCTAAGCTGGAATGTCTTTTAACTCCCCTAACCAGGGCCTCCAGCCAGCGGTTCCACCACAATCATTTCCTGGATTCCTACCCCAAATTCCTCAAAGTTTGTGGGAGCAGGAACATGGCAGTGAAGGTTTTCTGTGGTTTTTGCAAACCCTTCTCTATCTCCATGCACCGGGCTTGAAAAATCACATGAGTTTTTGACAGCATTAATAGAATAGAATAGAATTCTTTATTGTCCAAGTGTGATTGGACACACAAGGAATTTGTCTTGGTGCAAATGCTCTCAGTGTACATAAAAAGAAAAGGTACATTCGTCGAGAGTCAAGAATCATAAGGTACAACACTTAATGATAGTCATAGGGTACAATAAGCAATCAATCATACTAGGAAACAGTCAATATAAATCGTAAGGATACTAGCAACAAGGTTACAGTCATAGTCACAGGTGGGACGGGATGGGTGAAAGGAAGGGAGGATTAATACTTATAGTGTAGTGCAAACTTAGTAAATAGTTGGACAGTGTTGAGGGAATTATTTGTTTGGCAGAGTGATGGCGTTGGGGGGAAAACTGTCCTTGTGTCTAGTTGTTCTGGTGTGCAGGGCTCTATAGTGTCATTTTGAGGGTAGGAGTTGAAACAGTTTATGTCCAGGATGTGAGGGGTCTGTAAATATTTTCACAGCCCTCTTTTTGACTCGTGCAATATACGGGTATAAAGAATACAGGGGAGTTTTTCCAGGTCTCCCAGCTCCTGGTGGGTTAAGTGGAGGGATATGATAAAGGTAGAGGAGGCAAGTGCCAGGATAAGGAGACCAAAAGTTGTGGAGGATATTTCTCATTCTGTTCTTGAGGGAAGACCCTCAGAACATCACGGTTAACCCGAGTGGAGGATAAAATATCACGAAGAACGTCAAGTTGGGAACAGCGAGTCCATCTCAGATGCACCGAACTGGAAGGAAGGTTCAAGGAAGAAGAGACTTAAGGTCATCCGACTAACGCCGGACCTAATTCAGTTGTCAGAAGGAGCATTTCTCTGTGAGTTCTGGAACAAGAGTGTCCAGAAGTTCTAATTCTGAAAAACCTGAAGTCCAAGAAGAAGGCTAGTCTACCCACTGAAAAAACTTCTGTTTTCTCGGCGATAGAGTGCTTGGGATGCTTTCAAGAATGAGGGTGTTATTTTGTAGACTACCTGGTCCTTCTCTAACCATGTTCTTCTTCTCTCTCTCCTCCCCAACCCCGTTTCTTCTGTTTCTCTTCACAGCAGAAGCAGCAGCGCCAGCAGCGCCACGAGCATTAGCCTCCCCAAGCACCTTTCTCTCTCCCCACAGATCCCACCCCACCATTCCTCTGGCCCCGTGGTGCCCCTTTCCATCTCCAACCTTGCCGCTTCGCACTTCCCTCTCCGATCGCAGTCCCAACACCAGCATCATCCGGCCATGTTCGCCACCCCTCCCACGCTGCCGCCCCCACCTCCAGCCTTGCCCACCAACAGCCTTGTGATCCCGGGACACCCTGCAGGTAAGTCCCACCTGGCTCTCTGGACGCTAGACTAAGATACATTGGCCACCCCTTTGAAAGAGGTACGTGATTAAGTACCTCGGTCAAGTACGTCACTAACCTTTGGGCCCAAAAGACCAGGTCCGTGTGCGAAGGTCCAATTGAACTACTCTATTGCTAAAAGACCGCGCGCAGGAATCTTCTCAACTCACGCTAGGAATCAAGAACGGGAATCTTCTCAGTTTCTGCTAGGCATGAGATAGGAGTCAGCGGAATTTAAGGGACGTTGTTCGCTTGTAACTACATAGGGATTCGAGGCTGATTCCCCCTTTTCACTCTGCCCTCAGGTCCTGCCACTCCTCCTGCAGTAACAAGAATCAAAACCAGCCAGGAAAAACGAGACAAGAAACTAGGGCTCTTTTGAGTTTTAATCTCAATGTCAGGCTTCTGAGTAATGCTGAAAGCAAAACTGAAAGCAAAACTCCGAGGCAGGTAGATTCCTCAAATAACAGGTCTATTGGATACACCGTACTGGCGCCACTGGCGAAAGCCAACTCTAAAAGTTCCTGCAGTTTTCACCTAATTAAAAAGAGAGTATTTTTTTCCCCTTTCCCCAAGCCATCAGCCAATAGAGTCCAATAGAGATGCTGGCAGGTTGCTTGGTTACTCCGCTCCTCCTCTCTCAGCCACCTTTTGGAATGACCTTGGATCCCACAGGAAAAACTTGGCTTTGACGGCAAAAGCCAGCTATTTTCCCCCTTCCCTGTCCCCTCTTTTGCCTCGAGGCAACTATGACGTCGCAAACATGGCCTCAGCCAGGTTCGCTCCAGGGTTGACACTCAACTTTCTTTGAACAGACATAACCCCGCAGTGGCTCAAAAAAAAAACCCATCATCTCTTTTGAGTTAAATGTTCCACTCTGTCCATCCTTTTTTTTTCCTGCAAGTCTCGGCCTCTGCCCCCGGATAAATAGTAGCATGCTGCTGGAGCAGAGAAATGCTTAGCCCCGTGGAGTTATAAAATAGGAGTGAATTAAATCTGATATCCTCCAGATGTGTGGAGCTTCCTAGCCAAGATGGGAATTGGGACTTGAGCCATGAAATTCCAGCACATGTGGAGAAGCACCGAGAAGTTTTGCATCAGAGATGCCATTTTACATAGAATTCCCCTGTTCTACCTAACATGCAGGTTTCATCCTTAGTAGTAGATGGACCATTTAAAAAAAAAAAAATTAAACCTTACCACACATCCCTTTTTTGACAATTCCTTCCCAGCTGCAAAATTCTTCCAGCAAAAACACTGATTTTTATGTGCCATCACTGTGGGAAAACAGTGAGACCCGGCATTCATCGTTATTCATTTATGGATGCAAAACGAATTCCACAATAACATTCACAGTTGGGAATTAATCAACGTATGCAAATGACATTGCTATCCTTTTGCAGGACAAGCGAAAATTCAGGACTGAGCCTACATATGAAGCACGGCTAAACTAGGAAATATGGGGGGAAATTGTTTTGGTGGACAGCAGTCCTTCCTCTAGAAGGCAAATAAACATAGGCAATAAACATTCACACATGCAATAATATTATTTCTCCATGTTCCAGATTTTGGGCACGTGCTCCCCCTTATAAAGCTGGACACCTGTATTCCTGGAGGAAGCAAAACTTCTATTGATTTTTTGATTCACAAGATTTGAAACTTTCCCTGAATATTTCAAAGGATGGATTCATTTCAGGGCTCTCTGTGCCCTGTAAGATCCCCTTTATAGTTTTCCGTTGCCTTACATTTGCTCCTGCAGCAGCTGGGATCTCTGGTGGATTTCTCCAGAGTTAAAGGCCCCCTTTTGATCTGACTCTGTAATTCACGCATTCGGATTAAATGGTGAAATCCACACACGCACAAAAGCAACAGTCCTAAAACACCAACAAGAGAGAGAGAGAGGGAGAGAGAGAGAGATTGTAGAGCGAAGAAAGAAAACCAGATCGCTCGGGGATTAAAATAGCTGCACATGTATGCCAACACCTTCTCCTATTTCCTATGCAAAGCTAGTTCCGAAGTGAGAAAGAGGAGCTTGGAAGAGAGAGATTTTATAATCGCTAATAGCAATGATGCTTTTTGGTTCTCCCATTTCCTCCTCGGAAGGTTTTGCAATTCAACAGATAGGAAATAAGAGAAGAAAGTGGCCGTCGCGGTGCTGTAGGCTGAACTTCCGTAGTTCCCATCTCCATTGGACCTTTTTCTTATAAGTTTGCCTTCAGTCCCGGAGACTTAAATCAGAAAGATGTCGGACTGAATTTGTCCATCCAGACCTGCTTATCCAGAACCTTATTCAGTGGGGCAACTCCAGAGTGGGGCAGAAATGTTGAGGTAGAGCCATGATGGCAGGTGCCACAAGTGGCACTTAGAGCCATCAGTGTGGATATGCGAACCCCAGCCAAACTTACCTGCACTGCGCATGTGTGCGCCTCCTAGCTGATTTTCAGCCCATTTGAGGCCATTCTTGCCCTCCTGGAGGCTCAAGGGCAGCCTTGGAAGGCTGAAAAATGGGCCTTCCAGAAAGTGAACTGCCGAAACTGGCCTGCCAAGGCTACAGAGGCTTTCCTTGAGCCTCCAGGAGGGTGAAAACGGCCTCCCCTGGGCTCCAGAGGCCCTCCGGAGGCTGAAAACGGGCACTTCTGGTATTTCCGGAAGGCCCGTTTTTCAGCTTCCCGAGGCTGCAGAGGCTTCCTTCGAGCCTCCGGGAGGGTGAAAGCAGCCTCAAACGGACCGAAAATCAGCTAGGAGGCACACGCATGCAAAGTGCAGGTAATGGGATGGGGTGGGGGGTGTTGTGCGTGCATGCGCAGGGGGCAGCACATTGTATGGTGGGTGCCGGCACGTGTGCATTTTCGGCACACCACAACCAAAAGGTTCGCCATCACTGAGGTAGAGGCGGGATGACCCATCTATCAGGGTTTCCTCCCCTGACTAAGGTTGGATATGACGTCTCCTTCATTTCTTTGAGCTCAGGGATCCTAGCACTGAATGATGGGTCAGGTAGCAGGTGAGGACCAAGTCCTCGGTCTAGAACCCTGCAAAGCTGCTGCTAATCAGGGTCCTCACCAAATTGTACTACTTTAATAATAAGCCCATTTTCTGTTCACCTCCCCAAATCGCTCAACATTGCTGTAGCGAGGAAGTCCTGTTTTCTGACCCGGCTTCCAAACAAACCCACTGTAGTTAAATAAATGTCCCCTTTATTAGGAGCGCCAGCAGCCCTGGGCAAAAAGTCTTTGTCTCACCACAGGCTAACAAGTCTGTCCAGCAGGGAGATGAATAGTTTTCTGTCACATCTATTCCTCTCCGCCCCCTGCCTTTTATCCCCAGAGCTAGCAGCAGTGGCTCTTCTGTCCCAAGGACCGGCCCATAGATTTCCACTGCTCTCCTCTCCTCTGCTTTCTGTGCATCCACGCATCAGACACTGGACCCAGCTGTTCCTCCTCTTCTTCATCAGCCACCTCCAGACCTGAGGGCTGTTGACTCTCCATCTGAGAGCTGACGGACGGCCCAGGCTCCGCCTCTCTCTCTCTCTCTCTCTCAGCCAGCTCCATTCCTTCTTCCCCTTCGGAGCTCTCAGGTTGCCTTGATGCTGCCCTGATTCCCACACCACCTCCTCCTGATTTAGCTGCTGGAGGAGCCGGTGGCCAAGAGGCCACACAACAGGTCCTGAAAAATTGGTTCTGACCCAGTTTAAATCATTAATTTGACTCCAATGCACCATTCAGGTCTCTGGCATTTGTTTATTGGTACAATCCGATGCTTCAAACCCACATCACTTTAGAGAAACAAAAATCCAAGGCACGAGATCATCTATTGCCCAAAAGGAGGCTTGGGAACAACCTCATTGCAACCCAAGTCACATCACATTAATATTTCATCCGGGTATTTCCAGCAACGTAAGAAATCTGGATTTCAGGTTCAAGCCACTTTGAGGACTCTTAATGGCTTTTATCCATCGCTTGGGAGATAACTCTCAGGTCTCCATTTCAATGCGGCTTGCAATGTTGGCTTTGCATGATCTGGAAGGGGTTTTGAAGGGCGGCTTTGAAAAGATGGACATGCAAGGAGGGAGTGGGGTTGAGTGGGGTTTGGAGGGAGTGGGGTTGAGTTTGGGTTTGGGTTTGGGAGGTCCACTTCTAGAAGAAGATAGGAGAAGCCATGACTTAGTTGTTTTTCCCTGGCCCATTAAGGACACGAAACATAATCTGGTTGATGGGCCTTATCTGTCCCACCAACCTGAAACCAAAGTTGCAAGGAACCATGTAGACTTTTAAGGACCAACCTCTTATTCATCGCAATGCATGAAGTTCCTCCAGAGATGTTGGTGGGGTTGGAAGAAGAGATGGAGACATCGCTGGGTTGCCCTTCTCTCAGCTCCCAAATTTGTTCTCCCGAAAGCAAGATCAGTCATGACCCCTCGGGGTCTCTGGGGTTGGTCAGTGGTGGTGGGAAGGGGCTGAATGTTGCTAAAAAAACAACAACCCACCCCCCAAAAAACTGTTTTCTACTGTGGTGGCTCATTGTATTCTCTCTTGTTCTTTAGATACCAGCCTGTTGATATCATTCAACCAACCAATCATGTATTGCCAGCCTCATTCGGGGATTCTGATTGGTACATTGTCACAGGCATCTCTCTTACCTCCACCAATGAGTTCTCACGTAGAAAACCATCACAGCATGACGTGCAGAAATAGGGAATGCCAGGTGAATGTTTTGAATTATTTTACCTCTACGTTTTTTGTGGAACTCACAGGCTGCTGGGCCCTGGTGTCTTTGTTTGTTTGTTTGTTTTCCCCTCCCCACTCTCTCCCTCTCTCTTTCTCTCTCCACCTCTCTTTCCCTCCGTCCCTCCTCTCTTCCTCTTGCTCCCCCTCTCTCTCTCCTCTCTCTCCCACTGTCTTTCTCTCTCTCTCTCCCTTTCTCTCTCTCCCTCTCCCCTCTTTCCCCCTCTCCTTCCCCCTCTCTCTTCTTTTTCTCCCTCTCGTCCTCTCCCTCTCCGCCTCTCCTTCCCTCTCTCTCTTCTCTCTCTCCCTCTCCCCCTCTATTTCCATCCCCCTCTCCCTCCTCCTCTCTTCCTCTTGCTCCCTCTCTCTCCTCTTTCTCTCTCTCTTTCCCTCTCTCCCCCCCCTCTCCCCCTCTCTCCCTCTTTCCCTCTCTCTTTCCCTCTCTCCCCCCTCTCTCCCCCTCTCTCTCCCTCTTTCCCTCTCTCTTTCCCTCTCTCCCCCCTCTCTTTCTCTCTCTCTTTCCTCCCCACTCTTCTAGATCACGAGCTGCTTAGACAAGAACTGAACAATCGGTTTTTGATTCAGATTGCGGACAGGACTGGCGGCTTGCTCGGTCTGGTGCCGATGCTGAGGGCGGAGTTCCATCAGCACCAACACACTCACCAACACACCCATCAGCACACAATCAATCCTTTCCCGTCCAGCCTGCCCCAGAAGCCGCACTCTGCACCTCCCCTGGTGCGTACCCCTTCCCCAAACGTGTGGATAAGTAAGAAATGCCTCTGGTTGACCCTGGTTGAAGGATGTCCCAAACTGGTCTCTTTCCGCTAGTCCAAAGGATGTGTTGCTTTTAAGACACAGTTGTGGTTGCAGCTTTTTGCCACAAAACAAACATGGGGGTAATTTGCTACTGCTGTTTCTTAGTTATTACCTTTATTTTATCTGTTTGCAGGCAGGAGGGAGGGTTGTGGTCTCAGATATTCTACTAAGGCAGACCTGGGCATTTAGATATGTCTAATCTAACCCTTGGTGTGACATGATAACAGTATTCCAATATTTGAAAGGTTGTCACAAAGAAGAAAAGGTCAAATTACTCTCCAAAGCCCCTGAAGGCAGGACAAGAAGCAACGGCTGGAAACAAATCAAGGAGAGAAGCAACCTAGAACTAAGGAGGAATTTCCTAACAGCGAGAACAATTTAATTAGTGGAACGAAGTGGCAGTGCTCCATCACTTGGAGGTTTACAAGTAGAGGCTGGACAACCATTTGTCTGACATGCTATCGGGCAGGGGTGTCAAACTCAAGGCCCGGGGGCCGGATCCAGCCCGCGGTGCCAGAGAAATTGGAGCTCGGGAGGGCTCCTCCCAAACTCCGTTTTCGCTGGCCATAGGTTGCAGGAGGCCATCGCAGCTGAAAACGGAGCTCGGGAGCCGCTCAGGCCACCACAGGCGCCCCCGACACGAGTGACGCTGAGCTGGCCACACCCACCCAGCCTCCCAAGGTCAAACACAACCCCGATGCATCCCTCAATGAAATCGACGCCCCCCCCCCCCCTATAGAGTCTCCTACTCCATCAGGGAGTTGTGACTAGAAGACCTCTCCAGGTCCCGTCCAACCCTTTTGTTCTAAGCCCCCTGAGAATCAGAAGAGCCAAACAAAGAGAGTCTTGAATGGCGAAAGGCATTTGGCGTGTCGGGGGAAACCCGCAACCCCCCCCCCCCCCGGCATGTTCTTAAAACTCCAGAGCAGCCATCTTCCTTCCTTTCATGGGGCCCCCTCATCCTGCCGTAATCATCCAGCCGCCCGTGAAAATATTCTCCCCTCCGTTGCTATCCCAATCAGTGCCACCCAGTAGCAGTGGGAACGTTTGTTTCTGTCCCGAATGTTAATATTTGGCTTGAGGAAGCCAAGACCCCATCAATAAGTGTCTGTACGTTCGACACTGACCAGGCTCTGTGTGGCTGTTGTGTTTGTTTACGGCACGGCTGAAAGGCTAATTCAGGTATTCGGGTTATTTGAACGTTTCCTTCCCAAGAAGCCCGGCTAGTCGAATTGCTGCCCACCCACAAGCAACTTCCTGCTTTGCCCCCCCCCCCCCACCCCCAAAATGTCACAGCCCGTTAGGGTCCAAATTGGTTGGTTGGAAACACAGCGACTCTTTGACTCGGCGGGGAAGGGAGATCGCTTCTCCCGTCCTTTGGCCTTTTTTAAAAAAAAGAAAACTTCACAGCAACTTCTGTGCCTTTAGAAAAACAGGCTACCGGAATTGGAAGGGACCTTGGAGGTCTTGTAGCCCAACCCCATCGTTCCATTAGGAGACCCTATACCGGTGGTGGCTAACCTTTTTGGGCTCCTGGGCCAAAAATTGTGCCTGGGCTGGCACTTGCACGCTCACGTGCCAAGACCCAGAAGGCAATGCGCGTCCCCCGCACGCCCCCTGCACATGTGCACACAATGCCCCCAAGCCGCCGCCCCCTTCCCTGCACTGCACCTCACAGCTAATTTTCAGCTGGTTTGAGGCCTTTTTCGGCCTCCCGGAGGCTTGAAAAAAAGCCTCTGCAGGCCGAATAGGCCCGTTTTGTCACTTCCGGTATTACGGGAAGTGACAAAACAGGCAGGGGTGCGATTCAAATTTTTGACAACCGGTTCTGTCCGCGTGGCTTAGGTGGTGGGCATGGCTTGGTGGTCATGTGACTGGCTGGGCATGGCCAACTCCATATCCCTCACATCGAGGCACGCATCTCCTCGCCTGGCCTCTCATGACTGTGGGGATGCTGCAACAGTCGTAAGAGTGAAAAACGGTCGTAAGTCACTTTTGTCAGTGCCATTGTAACTTTCAATGGTCACTCCACACAAGCAAAGTACCAGCAAAGGAGGGGAAAAAAACTCCAGAGAAGTTCCTGAGACAGGAAGTCTAGTCCTGCCAAGAATGTAATAAGGGTTAACGGAGAGGCAGTTTCTGTAAGCGACACCAGAATGTTTCCTTCCTGCCTTCCTTACAGGATTAGCCCTGTAATTTCTTCTAACAACCGGTTCTCCCAACTGCTTAGAATGTTAACAACCGGTTCTAGCGAATAGGTGCAAACTGGCAGAATCAAGCCTATTCTATTCTCTTGTTTTCTTTTCTGAAAACAAGCCTATTCATCCTGCAGAGGCTTTTTTCAAGCTTCTGGGAGGCTAGAAAAGGCCTCAAACCAACCGAAAATCAGCTGTGAGGCACGCGCATGCACAGTGAATCCTGTGGCTCGCATGCCAGCACAAATGGTCTCCGTGACACCTGTGGCATGCGTGCCATAGGTTTGCCATCACGGCCCTATACCATTTCACATAAACGACTCTCCAATCCCTTCTTAAAAAGCCCCCAGTGATGGAGCACCCACTCTTATTTATCACGGTTTGTGTTCATTGGCCCAGGTAATTATACAACATACTATCCACAGGCTGGAAGGGACCTGGGAGATCTTCTAATCCAACCTCTTGATCGAGCTGAAGACCCTATACCAGGGGTCTCCAACCTGTGACTCTGGAGCTGCATGCGGCTCTTTGGGCCCTCTGCTGTGGCTCCCTGTTGGGTGATCCCACCCCTGGCTGGCCCCGCCTCTCACCCTCCCCTCCCAGTCACTCCTTTCCTGGCCTGAGAAGGTAAAACACAAAAGACAAAAATGAGAGGGAGGGACGGGGAGAGAGAGAGAGAGAGAGAGAGACCCATTTCCCACAGAAAACACCGGGAGCCACAAAACCTGGCTAGGCAAGGCGGGTGTGTGTTTGTGTGTCATGTGAGTGGGTGAGAGTGAAATTGAGTTGGCCATGCCCACCCCGGGTTTGTGGCTCCTGGTGTATTTTGTTTTCTGTGGGGAACGGGTCCAAATGGCTCTTGGAGTGTTTAAGGTTGCAGACCCCTGACCTTTTCCAGCAGTGGGGAACCTTTTTGGCACCGAGTGCTGAAAGCACGCACATATGCAAAATGCAACACACACACACCCCATGCATGCATGCATGCATCCCGCCTCCCGTGCATGCACGACAGAGGCCCGAAGACCAGCTGGCCAGCGGGGAGTACACATGCATGCGCGTTGGAGCTGAGCTGGGGCGACAGGGCACGTGCCCACAGAGAGGATTCCGCATGCCACTTGTGGCACGCGAGCCATACGTTTGCCACCATGGTCCTGTACCATTTCAGACAAATAGCTGTCCACTCTCTTCTTTGGAGCATCCTCAATTTCAGGAGGCCAGCCCTTCCACTGATTAATTCTTCTCACCGTCAGGAAATTCCTCCTTAAATCTCTTTCCTTAATGATTTTCCACCCATTACTTCTTACCCTGGCTTCAGGTGTTTTGGAAAACACGTCAACCCCCTCTTCTCAGCCCCTCAAGTACTGGAAGACTGTTATCATATCACACACACACACACACACACACACACACGGTCCTTCTCTTCCTTCGTTCCCTGTAAAACGGGGCAAAATTCACTTTACAACTCTCTCACTTAGCCCCAGAAATTTGGGGCTCCGTTGTCATAAACCGAGGACTTCCGGTAACTAAATAAAATGTGACTGACTCCTTCCCCGGCCCCTCAGTCCTGCCTTTAGCAAAGGCCGGGCTCAACATTTCTTCCCAACCCTGTCAAAACAGGGTTCAGGGTTTTGCAACTCTGCGTATTATTATTATTATTATTATACACAAAAACGACAGTGTACACAGCAAACGAGATAACCATGCTGGGTTTCGTATCACAAATCACTAGTCGAACCCTTCCCGAGAGTTTATGATTGCGTGATGTATCGGCGGATTATGCGAGCAGATCCCAGTAAGGTGGCCTTTCTGCAGCTGACCAATGGTGATCTTGTCAGCGCCAATTGTTTTCAAGTGCTTGCCTAGGTCTTTAGGCACAGCACCCAGTGTGGCCAGTACCACTGGAACCACCTGCACTGGTTTATGCCAGAGTCTCTGCAGTTCGATTTCTCAAGTCCTGATATCTGGT